CGATGATGTCACGTTCACGTGCACTCGCGCACCACTCCCCTTGATCGACAGGCCTATGAGGACGCACTGCAGCAGCGTGATGTTGAGTGTCTGCTGTGGTGCGTCGAAACGCGACAGGTCCAGCACAATCGCGGCGGTGAAGGTCACATTGACAAAGCACAGACCACGCACACCGGGATCAGGATCGTCTACGGAGCTGATGCTGCCACCGTGCACGCAGCGGACCTCCGTGTCCTTCGCATCGGGGAGCGGGAGCGGCCCAAGGCCGTCCGGAACAGCAGCTGGCAGACACGTGTCGCCGTGGCCGCCAGCAGCGCACACACACTCACAGCCGCTGATGCTGCTCGTCCTCGCCGCAAAGCACACGGCGTCCACGGTGCACGCACCACAGTCCAACACCGTCACGGGCACTCCAATATTGAGGTCGTATTGGTAATTCGTCACAGGTGAGCCCCTTGCCTCGTTGCACACGCCGTAGATGGTCGGGCGCGCGTCGGATGGTGGTGACCAGTTGCTTGTCATATTTGCGATGGTCGACGAGTACGAGCCGTACGTGAAGGTGTTGTCAAGTATCGACCACACACTCTGATCGCGGAACGCCACGCCGTAGTAGTTGGCCACGTACACAACGTAGGCGGCGCGGAACTCGTTGTCGCGGTGCACCAGCCAGCTGCCGCCAGTCACGGTCAGCGTGGTTGCCATGAGCATGGCGAAGCCGAGACGGAAAGTGCTGGACACAACCTGCAGCACGCTGCCGCCATCCACAACAACATCCCCAAGCACACACGCGCCTTTGTAATATTCGGTGCTCGGCGCACTCCACGAGCTGTTCTGCACCGAGAACACGGAGCCGCCGCCGACAAGCAGGTCCGACCCAAAAGCGTACATCACGTGCGTTCGCGACATAAGGACACAGTTGTCCATGTAGAAGACGCTGGACAGATTCGCGACAAAGCCGCGCTCCACGAGGATAGCAGCGCACAAGCCCCCGCCACACACCAGCGACAACCGCGTCATGACAAACCGCGTCGACAGAAGCCGGACGCCGTCCAGCACAAGCGCGGGGCCGTACCGGGATTCCTCGTGGCCAGGGGTCGTCGGCACGTACTGCGACCCGCCAACCGTCGCACGCAGCGTTGAGTTCGCCAGCAGCACACTCGAGTTCGGCGGTATCGCGCCATGCAGCACAATCGTGCCCTCCAGCGACGTCACATTCGTCATGTTGACGAGGGCGTGCGGCATCAAGCGCGCCGTGCTCTCGCCGAGGCCGCCAATCCGCAGCTGCGCGCCGCCCGCAAGCACGCAGTGGCGCAGCGTCACGTTCAGCGCGTCAGCGAACGCGTCCATCAAGCGCAGGTCCACCCCCACAGTGATCGGCCCGCTAAACACCACCGAGTCGAAGCACGCCGTCGCCCGCCAGCCGCCAACCGTCACCGACTCCGTCAGCGTCACGCCACTCACGCAGCCCTCCGCAGCATCGCCACCACCACCACCGGCCCTCGCAGGCGGCACGTCAAACGGCAGGCACGCCTCGCCCACACCGCCGGCACGGCAGCTGCACACGCAGTCGGAGAACGACGCAGTCAGCACATCGAAGCACGCCAGCGCAGCTGCACAGCCGTCGCACGGCACCACGCTCACGGAGGGCAGGCCAGCCATGCGGTATTCGTCGCGGCTCCGCAGCACCCGGCCGCCGGCACGGTTGCACTGCACCGACACGACGCCGCTCGTGATCGTCGGCCCGGAGACAAGCGTCGCGCCGGTGGCAGCGCAGCGCGCAATCGACACGGTGCCGCCGCTCAGCGTCACACCCGAAAGCGACGCCACCGACGACGCCTCGCCCACCGCCCACACGTCGCGCAGCTCCAGCCACCCGCCGACACCAACCGTCCCACCGTCGCAGCGCACCAGCGACGACGCAACAGACCCCTCGACGCGCACAAAGCGCAGCACCGAATCAAACAGCGCAAGGCGCTCTCCAAGGACAGTGCCGCCGCTGCTGCTCACAACCGAGACGTTCGTCACGGAGAACACCGAGTGGCTCTGCAGGCTGAGACGCGACGAGGACGCCACATGCATCGCGGACGCGGTCGGACCGCCCGACGCCTCCAGCGACACGCCGTCAAGCACCACCGCGCTCGACAGCAGGTCCACGCCGCCGCCAACGTGCACCGCCGACCCACCCGCGTGCAACGACCTCAGCACAGTGTTGCTCACACGCAGCTGTGTCTGCAACAGCGAAATCGCGTGCAGCACAAGCGGCGACGCCACCGCGTCCGTCAGTCCGCTCAGTTGGGAGTAGCGCATCGGTCCAGGCGTCACAATCGTCGAGTCACGGACCGTCACGTTCGTGCGTGCCGGCAGGCTGTGCATAAACACGAGCGAGCAGTAGCTCCCGGACAGCCCGGTCACGCTCACCTCCAGGCTCCGGTCACTCGCCGGCTCGCCGCTGTAGCCCCGCACGTAGATCTGCGCACCGCCGTCGCACACGCAGTTCCTCAGTTCGATGCGCAGCGCGCCGGGAAGCATCGCCGGCACGTCGAACACCACAGCCACGCCGTTCGTGATGGACACGCCGTCCATCAGCACCGTGCCCACGGCGCGGCCAACCGTGATGGCTCTGTCCACCGTACCGCCCCGCAGTCGCAACACCACCGCATGCACCGCGGACATCCACGCCGCCGCCGCAACCAGCGCCAACACAAAAAAAAGCGCCACACGCACAGCCGTAATGGCCCTGCTCCGCACACAGTGCCGGCTGCGCGGACACGCGCCCACCGCAGACCGCATCCACAGACCCAAACAGGAACCAACAGGGCTCTCGTGGTGTGTCGCACTCGCCCCGTCCACCATAACTCCTGTCCAACAAATCCCTTTCTACAGATGGCAAATACAGATACACAATTCCTATATATCGCTATCCCACTACTGCTAATCCTACAGCAATTAATCCCTAACACCTTGAAACGATAGTTGTGCTGGTGAAGCCAAATTATCTCTATCTGATTGGTCAGAGGAGAAGAAGGAAGCAGATACAACAGCAAATAAACACAGCGGCACGCAGAGGCATCCGGTCACAGACAGTCCCCACCAATGCACAACCACCGACACAAAAAAACGCAGACGCCACAATCACCCCAGTAACACCATCACCGTCCCACCGCCCACGCAGCCCCACACAACCACCATGCAAAGTGGCAGGATCCCAGCAAAAAGTAAGATGAGCGTTGGCATCGCTCTTGCGACCGAAAGGCTCCACCACAGGGCAATCCCGATGCCGTGAAAAACACACAGCAGCCGAGACAGACACGTGGCAGCGTTGCAACCGGCGGCCATCAAGCGCGTCCGAGGATGTAATGGTGACACGGAAGAGGGGTGGAGGATTCGCCGTTCGCCAGCAGAAAAGGCGTCTTTCCTCCCTCGCGTGGGTCGGCATTGCAAAACAAAGAGCGGCACCATACGCGCAAACGGCACACACAAGAAGGACGAATGAAGAGGTACAGTGGCGGCACTCAGACACGGGGGACAAGGGTCTACACCGATTGTGCGGCCTGTTGACTCATAGACGTCCGGTTTGTAGTCAAGCCACCGCCCTGCAGTTCGTCAGTCTGCAGGAGGCTGGGGAATGGAGAGAACGGGAGAGGGAGAGAGAGAAGGTGCGGTCCTCATCCATCTCGGTTGGTGGTTACACCAGTCACGCCATCCCCTCAGATCGCCTGCTGCAAAGACCGTCACCGTCAGCAGCGGTCGGTGTCTTCCTTCTTCACCGATGCCGTCGCGCGCCTCCTCCCTCAACAACACAACGGGGGAGCAGCAGCCTCACGCAACTGCCACCACAGAGCGCAAGAGGAGCAACCAACTACACTGCAATACATATATCGCGTAAGTGTCTCGTGTGTGTGCCTACGACCACAAAAAAAAAAAAAAAGCAAATCATCTGAAAGCAAACACAGCCACACAGGAGTGCCAGAAAAACACAAACAGAATGACTGCTGAAACGCAACACCGCACGGCTGCCCACGCCGTGGCAAGCCGCAGGACACATGCTGAAAAGTAAAATAAAGATAAATCCGTCTTCCATTATGCATTCACTCAAAAACAAGAAAAAACTGCACGTTGGTGTGTGGCCTCCAAATCAGTGCGTGTTTCTCACCTGCAAATAAAAAAAAATACGTTACAGTCCTTCCAGTCGTTTAAATCCCCGGTGCCCACAAATTATTTATATTCCACTGGGACACTCGGCGTGGCTTCGTGCCCCCATTCCATTGTCTCTTTTATTAGCCGGCGCCATCGGCGTGGCACACAATGCCGGGAGCGTCTCTGGTCAATCAAAAAAAAAACTAAGTGGATCCCGTAATTGTCGGAGGACCACAACACGGGAAATAAAACAAACAAACAAACAACAACCCCGCGGTGCTGGCGCTGGGGAGAGCATGCTTCCACATAAAGAATGAGCTTTGCGCAAAAAGGGTCTAAAGTAAAACAAAATGGTTAAAACAAAGTGTTCACAAAAAGTGGCAATTACTTTAAAAGAGCGCGTAGACAGACGCATATGTTCCCGCTGGAAGCAGGAAGTCCTCGCTGCGGTTTCTCACTAAAGGGCCGAAAAGCCGCACAGCCCCAGCAGCAGCAACTGCGACACTTCCCCACGCATGGAACCGTCACCTTTTCCCTTTTTTGCCGCCACCCTTTCCTTTTTTATCGTCGCTCTTCTTGACCATTTTTAGTTCACCGACACTCAGTGGGCGGTCGTACAGAAATACCTTCGTCACTGTCACATCGCTGCTGTTGATGTCTCCCTTGTCGCCCCCAAAGTAGAATTGTGTGATTTCATGTCCCAGCGTCTCAGGTGTGGGTATCGTATCCGGGCTCCCCACAATCACACCATCCACGTACATGCAGCCCTTGCCGTCCTGCAGCATGAGCGCCACCTGGTATTCTCTCCCCGGCTCTTGCGTGGTGTTCGATGTCGTTTTCTTCCCATCAAACACCGTCTCCCACGTTTTATTCATGCCGTACGACAGCCCAATGATCTTCTTGCCGGCACCGTCCCCCAGACCCGCACCCAGCAGAGGAGTGCTCTCCTTCGGAACCTGGCGAATGACCACCGTCGCCACAAGGGTGAATCTGTGGTTCACAAAGCCGTACTGATTATTATCCTCCCGGCTGTTCACGGGCCATGTTGACCCGGTCCCAAGTCCCGTGAATTTGAACCCATTTTTGACCTTCGATGCTTTCGTCACGGATGCATGCACGCAGCGGTAATCGTCGATCAATGTGTTCACTGGCTGCGTTGGACAGGAATCCAACCAGACCAGCCGTGGGTGTGGAAGACCCGGAGAAGGAGGCATTCAACTGCGCCCAAATGCTGAGGATGGAGTTGATCGTCTTCAGTTCCTCAGTCAGGCGGGCAAGTGGAATGGCACTGCCTTTTCCATTGACACCCTCCTGTAAAAGGTGCAACGCACCATCCGAGTACAGCAGGGCGTTGGCAAGCGTCTCACCCATAGCATTCTCCACAAAAGGCGGTCCGACATGAAACGTGCGGCTATTGTCCGTGACCCAAAGGTAGCGCGCCTTGTCCTTTTTCTCCCCCAAGGCGTACTCTCTCTGAGTGTACAGCATGATCTGCCTTTTCCCAATGGTGGCTGTGATGAGGTCTCCCACAAGCAAATTTTCGTCCCAACGGAATCCTGATTGTGACATGACCCACACGCCTGGGAGTGTTCTGACAGCCTTCGTCCACGTTGTCCCCATGTCACGCGACTCGAACACACTCTGGCCATCCACACAATGAACAATCATGAGAATCTGTCCATTCTCCCATTCGGTGATGCGGGATCAAAGCATTCCACAAAAAAAAAATGCCCACTGGGAACACCCAGTTGTTGCCCTTGTCCGTCGAGTAAGTGATCATGGAGAAAGGTTGATTTTCCCCCTTCGCCGCCACCAGGGGAAACACAAGCGTGCCATTCAGCAAAAAAATGCCTGAGCCACCAGCAGTCTCAAATACCTTTCAGGTGATCTTGAGTGAGCTTGGAGATTTGTTGCAAGAAATATTTGGATTCTTCCCAGTTGACCATTCCACTCGGTTCGCCGTCCGTGGACTGCGTGGCCACACCCTCAACCAGTTGAATATCCCAGCCATCTTTCTCCTAAATATCATCATCACTGTCATATCCTAAAGTATCGCTTCCCACACGTAGAAACACCTTACTGTCCCTCGCAACTGCTGTGGGCCGGTGCAAAACACACAAACGATTATTGCCATTCCTACTGCCAAGCACGGTGCGTGCCCTCCACTCCTTCTTGGTGATCCCAGCTACAATGGACGGCCGCTTCTCCGCAGCCTTGATGAACCCGGCCACAATGTCGGGAAGTCGAACCCCAAACAAGTTATGTTCATGGACGTTATATTCGAACACGCCTTCAGCAATGGCAGCCATCACCCCACCAGCACGGAAGAGAAAGGGTGAGACAAATGCTCCCTTCACTTCAAATAAACCAGTCCCATCTCTTGGCTCCACCTGCGTCTTATTCGGCACAAAAATATCAACAAATTGCGGTAGATGCACATCCCCGAACTTACTCTCCACAGCGTGTGCACCTCCACTGCCAGAGCACATCATCACGACGAGGAGCAGCAGCACCGCGGAAGTAAACATACGCCGCGACATGTTGGGCCTCTGCGGCTCACTCTCTCTTCCTTCCCTCCTCCTTCCGCTGGATCCGGTCACGCAGCGACGGTTATGTGTGCGGGGTGCCTTCACTGCAGCAACACGTGAGAGCACATAAATATTTGTGTGTGGGCGGTGTGTGTGCTGTTGGTCCTTTCAGTGCCTTCGAATTTCACGGTAGCGATTCGCGCTTGTTTTCTTTCCTGGTGTGTGTGTGAGAAGTGGAAAAGAGCACAGCGACAACAGCGGCAATACACCAGAAAGGTCAGTGAGGAGCGGAGCAGAGCACCCACGCAGAGAGTGGGGCACGAGACAATCCGGAAGGGACGGCACGGAGGACCATCGCCCACAGAAAAGTGCAGCAACACGGCAAGTCACGGCGGGCCGTCGGTGTTTGCGGGCCAGCCCTCACGCGGTGCAACACGCCACACCCAACAGGGAATGACAGACAGACGGGCGGAGGGAGATGAATGGATGCCGTCAAGACGCACTCACAATCAAAATGGCCCGTGAGCATGCGGCCACTCCACGCAGGAACACAGGAAAAGAGGGTGAGAGGGGGAAAAGCAAGAAGCAGCACAACACACACGGAAGGAACAAACTACAGGCGCGAAAAGCACCGCCAAGGCCCTCGCCCTGGCCGGCAACTCCACACCAGCCCACACACACACACCATCGCAGTGCCGTCAGTCCGCAGGTAAGAGGATTCGGCCCTCCACACAACAAACGCATACACCGCCAGCAATCACCCACCAATGGACGGGGAAGAGAAGAGACACACCGCCACCGCCTCCAGTTCAATCCCACGGCCAACAAGATACGGCCACAGCCACGCAGCCAACACACAAAGCACACGGAGCAAGCAATCACCCAAAGAGCCACACGCGGAAGCGGATCCTCATCCAGCCATGACGCGGCGCCTCACTCCACGCGGTCACACAGAGCGCACTGGTTCCTCAATAGAAATTATCCTTCGTCCATCCCTTAAAGCTGCCTCTGTTAGTGATGGGCCTTAAAGCACAATAGAGGAAAATGGACAATGCAGTAGTACTGCGACAGCGCCAAACACAATAACTCCCTCATACCGGGGCAATTCTCCAATTGTGCCTCGTATACACACACAATCAACATACTATATAAAAATCACCCATTGTTTTTCACCAGAAGCCAAACAAC